GATTGAAACTTTTCCTCTAATATCAGTAATAAGACAAGAATGTTTATTTTCATCATCCATCATTCTACTGGAAGTTTTAGCTAGAGAAAATATACAATAAAAGTCATTCAAATTAGAAAGGAAGAAGCAAACTATTTATATTCACAGATGTTATGAAAATATACATATAAATTCCAAAGAATCCACAAGAAAGCTACTAGAGCTAATCAACACACTCAGCCATGTTCCAAGGAGCAAGATGACACATAGCATCAACTGTGCTTCTAAATAATACTAAAATATTGTTGGAATAAATCAAATAAGACACAAATAACTGGAAAGATAACCCATGTTTATGAACTGGATGTTTTAATATTATTGCCATGTCAATACTATTCAAAGCAATCTATGGGATCAATACAACCTCTAGCAAAATTCCAGCAGCTTGTTTTGCAGGAATGAAAAAGCCAAACTTACAATGTCCAGCAAAATTCCATCGGTTTGTTTTACAGGAATGAAAAAGTCAAATGTACAATCTCTAGCAAAATTCCAGCAGCTTGTTTTGCAGGAATGAAAAAGTCAAACTTCAAATCAATGTGGAATTTGAAGGGGCTTGAATAGAAAATGAACCTTTAAAAGATAGAAAAGTTGGCTGGGCTCGGTGGCTCAGCCTGTAATCCCAGCACTTTGGGAGACCAAGGCGAGAGGATTGCCTGAGCCCGCAGGTTTGAGACCAGTCTGGGCAACTTGGTGAAACCTCATTTCTAAAATAAATCACACACACAAAAAAACCGAGCCAGGCATGGTGGCGTGTGTCTATAGTTCCAGCTACTTGGAAGGCTGAGGCGGAAGATTGCCTAAGCCCAGCAGGTTGAGACTGCTGTGACCATGAGTGTGCCACTGTACTCCAGCCTAGGCAACAATGAAGTTGGTGAACTCACACTTCCCAGTTTCAAAACCTACAGTATACAAAAGACAGTAGTATGTATTTAAATACAGACATATCTATTGATGGAATAGAGGTTCCAGAGATAAACCTATACAACTCCAGTCAATTGATTTTTGACAAGTCTGCTAAGTTCATTAAATAAGAGAATAATCTCTTCAACAAATCTACTGGGAAATCTGGATTTCCACATCCAAAAAAATCCCAAACAAAATGTTCCTTACCTCACACTATCTACAAAAATTTACTCAAAATGAACCAACCACCTAAATGTAACAGGTAAATAATACTGTTCTTAAAGAAAAATACTGAACTAAATCTTCATGATCCTGGATTGGGCAATGCTTTCTTAAGCATGACAGAAAAAGAATAAGCAACAAAAGAAAAATATATATAATTAGACATGAGTGGACATTTTTGTTCATCAAAGAATAATATCAAGAAAGTGAAAATATAGCCTACACAATAAGATAAATATTTGCAAAATATACACTTATTATGGGGCTTGTATTTAAAATACATGAGCAATTCCTACAACTGAACATCCAAAGATAAACAACACAATTTAAAAATGGGCAGAGGACTTGAGTTAACCTTTCTTCAAAGAAGATATACAAATGGCCAATAAATACATACAATGATGTTCAACGATGTTAATAAGTAGGGAAATACAAATCAAAACCACAATGAGATACTTCATATCTACTAGAATGATCATAAAAAGAAATAAAAAATGTGAAGAAAAGAAACTTGAATACTTTCACAAATTACTGGAGGAAATATAAAGTTGTGTTATCTATGGTAGAAAACAGTTTGCTAGTTCCTAAGAAAATGAAGCAAAAATACTCAAAACTAAAACTATCATTTGACCTAGCAACTCTACTACACCTTGAAGAATTAAAATCTGGGATTCAAATAGAAACCTGAACATCAACGTTCACTGCAGCATTATTCACAGTGGCTCAAAGACAGAAAAGAACATATGTCCATCAAAATATAATGGATAAACAAAATGTGATATATACACATATATACTTCAGATATTATTTTCTCATAATAAATGTAGATCTGAGGCATGTTGCAATGTGACTGAATCTTGGAAATGTTACAGTAAGTGAATAAGCTAGATATAAAAGGGCAAAAATTAAATAATCCCACTTGTATGAAATATTTAGAATTTACAGATCAAAGAAAGATAAAAAACAGAGCACAGTTTATCAAAGACTGGAGAAGAGAGTAATGAGCATTATTGCTTGGTACAGAGTTTATGTTTGGAGGATACAAAATTAAAAGCATTTAGAAATATTAAAAATAGATGGTGATAATTACACAACATTGTGAGTGTAATGTCATTAACTTGTATACTTAAAATAGTTAAAATGTCAAATTTTATTTTATATATTTTTTCACAATAAAAATGCTTTTAAAAATTAATGTTGATGTTAAATAATCATGTGCTGAGGACTTTTACTTTGGTTGTACATAATATATTGTGCCTCATTTGCATTTTTATATAATTTCATATGCCTTGATGCACAAATACACAAACAATAATTAATTAGTAGATCTGTGAACAACTCTCACTATACGTACATTTTGGAAATAAAAAAGAAAAATAAACATAAAAGTTGAATAAGTTCTTGGCATAAGTGCAACAGAGTGAAAGAAGCAGCTAAGTTTATGAATATATTCAATACAAAAATTAAAAATGTTCCCTAAAACATTCTATATGTATGAAATGGGATGTCATGCGATTTAACTAGTATTTAAAACTTGTACAAAAACTAAATTATACATAAAATAAAAAATTAAAATTATTTGGGCTTTATTTTCATGTGTAGTTATTCCTTTCAACCAATAACTATTTTATTACTCATCTTTAGTTATATTGATTGCTATAAATTTCAAAAATGATGTAGATTTTCAAAAGATGAACTATATTTTTCTCCCACTTTCACACCTCATCTCAATATGATTTTAATATATTACATTCAAAATATTTTGCTTGGATTCCCTGTGTATGTACTTGATGAGCTTTAGAATATAATACACAAGATGTGTCATAGGATATAAGTATTCATACTTCTATATTTTTGGCATCTAGGCTATTTCCGCAGTTAATCGGGTATGTAGAGTAACAGTAATAATATAAATGGCTTCCAATCTATGTCCACAGACCTTACGCTTGAGACTTTTCCCCATCTATTAGATCATTCCTTTATATTAATATGCTTAGCTGAGTTAAATTATTCCCACTTATTTCCAATATATTATTTTCGCACTTTTTTTGTAGAAATTTTATTTGTGAACAATCATTATCTCATTTAGTTATGAGAATACACCTGTGCTCTCTTAATCTCCTTAAGATAATATCATTCCATATAAACAACTGATTGTTGAACACCTTGAGAATCAGAGCTGATACCTTACTCTTCCTCAAAAACAACATTTAAAAAAGAAAATATCCACATTATGAGTGTCTGAGTAATGATGTTTGATTGAATGTGTGCATAAATGGAAGTTTGGATTTAACTGTATGGGAGGCAGGGTGAAGACTTGAAATGATTAAATTAAATTTTAGTTCTGACACTAAAAATTATGTTCCTTGGAAAACAATAGTGTGAATATCCTGGAGAAATGAGAATCAGATGACAGCTCTGGTTATGAACAGTGTGTTGTTATTACCACCAAGAAAAATAATCAGTCCAAAAGGGGTGGGGGGAATGTAAGAATAAGCAAGATATCGTCCTCAAAGAAGAGTTAGCAAATTTTTTACAAGACACACCTTAAAATGTTACTATGAATTGAGATCCAGGAAAGCTATTCCTGTTCTTAACTCATAGAAAAGTCATATACGACAGGAAGGGATCTGCAGAGGCAATGTTTATTGTTCAATCTATCTCCTTTTTATCACCATAAAAGTTTATGTACACATTCACACACACACATCCATAAGCAGGATTGTTCCAGGGCATTAAATGTGTCAAGCAACAGAAAGAATTAAGTAAACACTCAACGTCATGACTACAAAATGTAACAACAAAAATTCAACTCAAACCTGTAACTTCTGTTTCAGTCTTGCATTGTGTGTGCCTGGGAATGTGTGTGTCTGTGTCTGTGTGTATATGTGCATGCATACATGTATACATGTATACGCTTGTCTAAATTGTCATCTAGCTTAGATAGGCTCTTGAGCACAGCTTCCAAGTGCTCTCTAATAGCTAACACTCTGAAATCTCCTGGATGCTTGGATGTTTGTAATAGCCCTGTGGAATATAACAATCAATGGAATAGTTAACAGATTATTAACCTGAATTTCCGAAAAGGAAAAGTTTTCTAGCTTTTCAGGTTTGAACTTACTTAAAACAAAACCACAAATTGATTTCAATGATAGCTACCAAAATTGTTAAAGACCAGAGTTATAATCTACTATTTTAGGGAATCTGAATTCAATTGGTAATCACAAGGCTACTGATAATAGTACTATTGAATTTAATGCTTATGCTATGTACTGTGATAAATGTACATGCTTTCAAATTTTACACTAATATTTATCCCATGACAATATGGAAGATTAATGTGGGGGTAATTGACCAAATTCACATAGTTCAGGCCTGCTTTCACACGAGGAGTGGCTCTAATGCTAAGCTTGCATGCCACTTAAATATGAGTATATTAACACAATTATTAGCCATCAAAGATAGCTCAATATCACATGTGTGGGTGTTAAACTAGATACATGTTCTTTTTATAACATAGAATTGTGCAAAATGAAGAAATGAGCACTTCTAATGAAATATAAGAACTGAAATTATTAAAACCTCTTTTGCTGTGATTCTCTAGAAAAGCAGTAAATCAATTTGGATTAATTAAACACGCCTACCTTGATCATTTTGAAAATTCCTCTAGGAGAAGAGGTACACCTAATCGCGGAGAAATAGTTCCAATATTGTAAAGCAATTTGTAATCCCTTAAGGTTTTTGCACTTCCTACTCTTTTACTACTCCTTTCAATAATCATTTCGCCATTCATACTTGAAGCAATAGATATTTTCACAAATCAGGCAATATGCAAATTCTGTCATAATAAAACATTTATTTGTTAAAGTGATATAGATTATTCAAGATTCTACAGTCTGTTAAATCATGGATGGCAATGTTTAAGATGGATTGATACAGAACTTGATGCCAAAGTAGGCTTTTTTTCTTTTTCTTAAAAAAAATACTTGTAGGTCAGAAGAAAAAAAATTTGGTTTTAAAAGAGGATGAACCATGGTCTGATAGAGCCAGTTCTGCCGGCATCGGAGACTTTCACCTCAGCTCCTGTAGACAATTTCTTCTACAACACCAGTTCGACAATTAGCCTCTGTTAATTGAAACATTTTTGAATTTTATCCAGTAAAAATATCAGTGGCAACTTTTTTCAGGAGACAGAGAAGAAGTGATGCTCTTCAGATTAACTCCAGCCTCTGAAATGAAAAAAAAAAAAGAAAAAACAAAAAACAAGAAAGAAAGCAAATAGCTAATAAGGTCATTGTGCTAGTAATCTAGAAGTTACTGAACTGTAAGCACCCAGACAGGAGTTTCTTGCGTAACACAACACACACACCTAAAAAATATCTAAACCTGCATATTAACATGTTGTTTGGTAATTGTAAATTGGAAAATACATTTTAAAAAATTCATCACAAATATCTCATAAGCCTAGGGAGATAATTATGTAAATCAAAGCCAAATTGTGGAATGGTGTTTTCCCTTGTTTTGATTTTCACATCTACATTCTCAAGGTAAGGTAAAAATATAATAATTTTATTCATCAATGCATACAACTTAAGTTTTAACAAATTCATACTTGTTTTTAGAATATGAACATATCAAATTTGTTCAACACTTTTAAAACCTAAGTGATCGCCATCTTTTTTTATATTGTGCTGGAAAATGTGTACATTAAAATTTTTGAAAACTTTGGTATACATTTGATGATAGTGAAGACTATTATTCATCTTTACTAATCAGTTTTTCTTCATCCACAAAAAATAAAATAAACAAAACACTTACAATCACTATTAAGTAAAAGCATTCCATGGTTGACTTAAACATGGTTTTGAAAGAAAATAATGTGAAAATCATTCCATAAAAATATTTAAATATCAAACTTGAACTGTATTTTTCCTTTAGTGTGGAATCTCAGTCTTCACAGATTTATGATATGTGTGTAACTTCTACTCTTGGTAAAGATGAAAAATAATTTTTTATGGATACATGATCTTATATGCCTTAATTGTAATTAATTTTCTCCTTTTCGTTCAAACATAGTTACATGTTTGCAATTTTCTGTTTGTGAGTTATAAAATGTATGGTACAACTGAATTGTGAAATACAGATTTTTACTTGTTTAATATTCTATATTAAAATTATAATGTAGAATATATTTAAATAATGTTATGTGATAAAGTTATTAAAATATAGACATATATGTATTTTAGAAAGCAGGATTCATTAAAAGGACAGAAAAGCTCCCACAGTGAGAGGGGACCTGAGGTGGATGTCCTATTAAAATATATTAAAGTTATTTTTGTAACTTTGTATGAAAAAGTAGGTAAAATACTGTAAAAATAGTTTCATAAAATATTCCAAAATACTTGATAATCTGAGCAAGTGAAGTTAATCTGGGCAAAAATAATAATTTTCAAGAGCTAACAAGAAATGCACCAAATATTTTAAGAGTGTTAAGGGACCAATGTGCATACTATCTGTATTTAAAAAACCATAATTACCTTGAAAACTACTGAACACAGACATCACCATCATACTTTACCAGTAATATTCTAAAAAAAATAAAAAATAAAAAAAAACATTGCAAAATCATTAAAAAATATAATATATATATATATATATATGATTAAACTCTTCTTTATTGGGCTCATATTAGAGCTCATATTGATAAAATTGGATATCAAATTTTTTCTCTTATATCCGATAATATACCTCTTTTGATACAAAAACGTTGTTATTATATCAAATTTCAAGTTGCAAATTGTAAAAAATAAAAGAACTCAGTATTCCTAGGAAAAAAAAAGATAGTAAACAAAGCAACGTTTGCCTTTGTAAGTAATAATACTTCCTGAATAGTAAATTTTAACTTCATATGAGATTAATTATTTCATAAATTGATCCATCTTAAAGAGTTTTCATTCAATTTCACATTAAATAATTACATTATTAACAAACTGTGGAATTATGGTTTACATAAATGCGGCTAATTTTGAATACTAGGAAATAGCTAAAATTTTGTGAACTATAAGGGAAGTTTGTCTGCTTTACAACTATAGGATTATTAAAATTATGACATAATAGGGAGTCAAGTAAAAACTGGTATTTGGTAGGATATCCAAAATAACATTTTTTAGTTTACTTATCAATAGGCAATTCCTACAGTGATTCCATAAATATCTAAACATAAAACACAAAATTACAAGAGTATTGCAAAAATAAAAATAAACAATAATAATTCTGGTAAGAACTAAAATAACCCACTTAGTGTAGGTTTTGGATATTTTACTAATGGTCCTCGTTTAACAGTAAAAGGATATAATGCAAATTACTGTGAACAGACAACCTTATTAACAGTACTAAAAAATAAAGAGGAAATGCAAAGGGCTTCAACATTAAGAGAAAGAAAAATGTCCAATATTAAATGGATTGTGGGAAAATCTTATAATTGCCCTTATTCTGGATATAATTAAGAACTATGAAAGAGTTTTATCTTTTATAGCTAGGATGTCTAAACAAGAAGATGATGAGACAATAAAGCCCTCTTTTTTCTGACTCAGTGTAATGTTCAAATAAATATGCCAAAAGTGTGCTGTTTAATTAATTAGTTAAACATAGCTAAATATTTTCTACATGTGTATTCTAACACCTTTATTTCAATAAACCTACTTGAGAGGAATTTTCATAAATCTCCCTCCATGGTACAGAAGCAAATATTTTATACCGATCATTCTCTCTTAGAAAAATATTGAAAGTATATTCATATAATATGTAAATATTTGCTTTTTTCTTTGGCTCTTATTTCTTATAGTTTACTAAACTTGTGTTAAGAACGTATGTACATATTTTGTTGATCTGAATATAACAAATACATATATAAAATATATTTTATTGATCTGAATATAGGAAACATTTCTTAAGAAATTGTAAGGCGTTTTCAGTATAAATGCAAACTACTAAACTCTATCTAAACTACCAAACATGGCATATCTATTGTTTTACTCTGTTCCTTTAAACATAAAAATGTGTCAGTTTACATGTAATTATCAATATTTTATCAGTTCCTTTCTCTTTTGCTCTCCATTCATTTTAGTGTCATGGTTTTATTATAAAGGAATTGTATGTGATACAATGAAATATTTCAAGCTCATTCCATTTTTACACATATTCAGAAAGACTCCTTAAGAAGAAAATGGGCACGGAGCACATCCTGACTAAAAGGAAATGAGTTTTAACTCTCTAGGCTTGGGGAAAAAATCACTTTATCAGGTATCTCAGTATGATTAGCTACAGAAGACCCAGAGTTGAGAAACCACGATCACAAGGGGTTTCTGCCAGCTTTCTATAGCACTTCATCCATACAGGGTAAAGTGAGGCTGACAGTGTGAAAAGCTATGAGAAGACTACAGGTTAGAAGGGGCATCACTGGTCCCGCCCACAGCTGTAGTCATGCTAGGCCTGCAATAGCACAAATCACTTACCACAAACCCCAAAAAAAGAAATGTAGCTAGGAGCTGGCTAATGAGTGAGTGAGTGGCTCTAAATTTTGTTAAAATTCTTCTATGAGAATTTTTTTTTGCTAATATTTATAGAGAGAAGAGAAAGTTCAAGTACGGAAGGAAATTTTCTATGCTATTATGATTTAGTTATTTATTTTTAACTATATTTTCTAAATTTTATATACCACTAGTTACTTTAGGATTAAAAAAAGCCATTATTAAAAATCTTATGTATTTATCACGTTGGCAAATCCTAAGCTATCTCTAGTAGTACAAAGACTCTCAAAGAGATTACCATTTTAAAAATTCTATTTATAACACAGCATTAAATACATAAGTACAAAAATATAGGTCTCATCAAATGTGAATATTTAGGATATTTTTGCAATCGATTATTCAAAAACTCTCCTGCTTTCAAATTTTGATATAACACTTAGCATCACCCTTGATTGTGTTTCTGATACATTAATTGTCTATTTCCTAATCTCTTTCTTAAAGGTATTCTAAGTTTCAGTTCAACAGGATGTCTGCAGTCACATGATAAATAAACTTTTTAAAATAAAAAAAAAAAAACAGTGAGAGAGAGAGAGGAGAGACACTAGAGACTAGTAGGAATTTAAGATTGAGAGAAAGAAAAAAAGGGTGATGGTGAAGCAAGGTACCTTCATGTAGGTCAATGCAGTACACCCAAGAGAACACAAAGCATGGGCCAGACATTGTGCTATTGATTGTTTCCAATGAGCCATCTGCTCTTTTTTGCATTGTAAGAATGAGATCCTAAATTCAGTCAAGAAATGATGCATGAAAACATTTTGTTTGATTTGGGGATGGAATTCATTAGGAAAGACCCTGAAAGATTGATGAAGTTATTTTTCATTTAAATGTGAAATGTAAAAAAAAAAAAAAAAAAGCAAGACCTTATTTTTACCACCAACAAATAAATCAATGGCCTTTTTTAGAACTGTTAAAAGGAGATTTTTTGTGTGCCAAACCTCAAGCGAATGGCTGATGCTTCCAGCTGTTTGAACAGATTGCTAAAGTGCTGCTCTGCTCTGGAAACACACTTTCTGGTCCAATTAAAATGCAGGAATCAAATACTCATTTGAAACTTCCCGGAAAAAAGAGAAACACTCAAGAAGAGTAATTGGTTGCTGACAAAAGGAATATCATGAATATTTCATATATCGTCTTTTGCTCCCTTTTAAAGAGGCTTCATTCATTTTAGACAACAGTGAAATACTTCTGTTCACCCGTTTTCAACGAGGCATAATGTATCATTTCACCTCCTGTTAGGATGTGGAGGTCAAGGATGGTAGTAAGTGACACCCAGGTCAATACAGTATTATGAATGTTAGCTTTATTTCTTACAGTACAAATCAGAAATGTTCAGGTAATGTGAAATATGTCTACATTTATAAATGGGAAACTTACTTAACCAAACTGAACTCAATCAGCCATTTGAGCATTCCAAGTATGTTTCAAAAAAAAAAATTGCAGTAAGTTATACACACTCAAAAGCCAAAAATGAAAAACTCATTTATAAAAGATTATATCCATATAATTGTTTAAGCATGTAATGGGTAACAAGAATCTCACCTGTGTTTCCTGGACAATCTGGTCAACATTAGTCAGCAAAGCATCTGGGAATAAAATTGTCAGTGTCATGAACAATTCATTTTTATTTTTTTTTTAAGAAACAGATCCTAAAACACTTCTTACTGAAATCTTGGTAATATTTCCTAATAAGAAAAATTAAACTTTTTCAAAAAACTTACCAGTTCTTTGGCTAATTGCCACTGATTTTTATAACATTTTTGACTACTTTCTAGTATATAATAGTTAAAAGTAGAATTTTTCAAAATACTGTTTTAGTAATTAAAATGAGTGATTTTCAATATGGAATATGCTATTTCTGTCACAGTTCAATAAGATAATCAAGTTTCTGTTCATTTTCCCTACCCACAATTAATATTCCAACTATATATATAGATTCATATGATTAATATGAAAAATACATCAAGAAAAAATAATACAAATAAAAGTCAATATAGTTTAACCGTAGCCACCACATGGAGTATAAAATAATCATTTATAATATTAACCATCATCCAATACCCTCTCCCCAAATAACAATACGTTTTACCAAACATCCATGCATTCTAAAGTAAGACAGTAATGTTCCAAAATCAAATATTCTGCCTTTAAATGTCTATATGCATGTTCTACTTGCCTATAAATGTTTAAAACCTTCACATAAGCCTGCATTATGCACATTTTATTTTTAGCAAAATGCCTTCTTAAGCAAATACTTCAGTTATTTAGTAGTGATACACAATAAATGAAAACTAGGTGCTATGGAAAAAAATCATTCTCAGTGTTCACAGATGAGTGTGGTGAGACTAAGAAAAAATGTTTTTTTACAAAACCTCCAGCACGAATATTCATGTAAATTTTTAACAACCCCTAGAGATTAGGTTTAACATGAAGGCAATAATAAGACATGCACACATGATAAAGAAAAAAATGGATAAGGAATTGCATTGTGGTAGAGCCAACATTAGGTATTTTATAAGCTCCTTGATTTTATTCAAATAGTAATTTATTAGGCATACTCTAAAGCAGAAACATATTATCTATATAGCCTATGCATCTAGTAAGAGTAAACATACCATCTCTTCCAAACATAAGTATTCTAAATTAAAGAGCCTTCATGGACTTTCTCCTAGATGTATTTGTAATGTTTCATTTTTGTTTTTAAAATTTATAAACATAAAAGTCAGCAATTTGAAATAAATGGATTAAACTAGTCATGTTGTCAAGATAGTTATCATAAGAAAATGCACAAAATTAAATATGTACCACACATTTTATATCTTTTTGTTATCTGGTAAATAATAAATATAATTTGTACAGTTTGGGGGAAAGTTCTCTGAGAGCCAGTCCATTTAAATCTAAATTTTTTACATTAATTATAACTTGCATTGCAAGGCACAAATTATTATTTTAGTGATTAATCATCTTATGAGTATAGATATTTATATAAAGATATTTATATAGTACATATATATTTATACAAAGATGAATATGTATATATTTATTTCATATTAACTTTAGAGCTTAAATTTTGACTTTGGAGTAGCTGAGCATAATCAGAAGATACTACACTGATTACTTTGTTATACTATTTGTATAATTTGATAATATTCCAAATGCACTAACATTACCTTAAAGAGGGAATTTAATACCTAGACATGATCCCAGTTATAAGATGTTACTTTCTATGTTCCATTACAGATAACACCTCATTTTTAGGATAGTTCAGTTACAATGGTAAGTTTACTGTTCTTTTTGTTTTAAGTGGTCTTCTGTACACTGCTTCAAGAAGAATTGATTGGGTTGCAAAAAATGCAAATAAGAGGAAAATAAGGAAAAAAAAGACATAAAAAACACTTATCTTTGTAACTCCAGCAAATGTTTTTCTAGCATTGGAAGGAAAGGACTGAGTTGCTTGAAACTATAAAGATCCAGCTATTTATTTTGATTTCTTCTTTTCTTTATGCCATTTTAAAATGACATATTTCTTGTCCATACATTGAATTTAATATCACTAACATTATAAAGTAAGTATTATTATTAGCATCCTAGGAGGATAAAACTATCCTGTTCATATTCAACCCATCTCCATGCTGAAGTCTTTTCCCCAAAACACTTTACATATACAGAATAACACATTGTTAAGGTAAAATCACTGAACCGTTCTTAAGACACAAGGGAAGGCTGAGCAAGGGAAAGATAGTAGAAAGTCTTCATTCTGTTCAATATCAATGAACATTGTTTTCTTAGCATTATAAATGCAACTGGAAATCAACCACACCAAGAGGAAAGTGGACTAACATGTGCTGTCTTCTTTGAAGAAATGGCTCTCTTGCCTTCACAATTTCATCTATAAGATGCTTGGTATTTATTAAAAATGTTTACTCATTTTAAGTATTATTTTTAAAATTTATTACTGTAAATAAACAAGAGAAATATTCAAATTTAGGAACTGAAAGGCAATTGATGTGAACTTCGTGATAATAACTCTTAAAGTTTTTAGCTTTATAAATGAAAGAGTTTCTTTTCAGTAATGCAAACAAATAAAATAAATGTCTTTTGGAAGCAAGCAATTATGAGTGTTTTAAATAGAAAAGAAAATACTTCACAAAAAATATGAAAGATTTCCTGTACAACATGGAATATATTTAAATTTTCTAGATTTTTCAAAAATTTGTGTGGTATGTACCCTTCAAAGAGTTAGACTTGTTTGATTTGGCGATCGAAATCTTCTAAGATTCCAAACTTATACTCTAAAACATTTTTAAGAAAAATATTCCTAAAATGCAGGCAAAATCCACTATTTAAGGCATAAAGTAGCTCACTGAGACCTCCAATGACTTCAAATTGGAAAAAATTATATAGAAAATAAATTGGCCACAGCATGGGTGGTACTCTCATTTAAATTGCTGTACTTCATCTACTTCTATATTCAAATATTTGTAGACTAAAAATATATAATATCCATTAAACTAGAATGTGCTGCTTCTTAGAATTTTGATGCAACTTTAGATGTTTTGTTATCCCACTATGACACTAGTCTAATAATAGTTTGGTATTTTCTTTGTTTGGTTGGTTTTTTTTTGAGTTGGAGTCTCACTCTGTCACCCAAGCTGGAGTGCAGTGGCATGCTCAACAGCCGCCACAGCCTTGACCTGCTAGGCTTAGGTGATCCTTCCGCCTCAGCCTTCCAAGTAGCTGGAAGAGCACGCGTCACCATGCCTAGCTAATTTTTTGACTTATTGTAGAGATGAGGTCTCACCATGCTGCCCAGGCTGGTCTCCAACCTGCGGGTTCAGGCAATCCTCTCACCTCTGCCTCCCCAAGTGCTGGTATTCGCCCTGCCTGGTGTTTTCAATTGGTGACAATTATTAAAAAACAATAATAATGCAAGAGCACATTTTTAAAAAATGGTTGACAAAATACCTGTTAAAACATGCTTAATTAATGGCAAACAGTATTTTGTTTGTTTGTTTTCACATTGAACAAGTTGAAACCATAATGTAAAATGGCTAAAGATGAAATAAAAATTATTAAGAACAAGGAAGTTGAAATAATATATATAATTTATATACAGTCAGCAACAACAAACAGCAAACCACATGCTTCAGATCACATATATATGGCTGGTTAAATGAGGACTACAATAAATGACAGGATAAACAAACAAACAAAACAAGAAAAAGACAGAGAATTCCTTGCTTGTGGTACTATAATATCTAGATCACAAATATGTATTGTGCATATTAACTAAAATTCTTATTTCCATACTTCCTTCCTAGCTTCATTCATTTATCTATCCTTTTATGTGTTCAATCATTGGGGCAGCCATTGTGTTTCAGACACTATAACAATTAGCATTATCTCCAACTTTCCCATGGATTTATTTTTCAGTCACACTGCAACTGCACAAGCAAAAATTTCTTCATATTTTTATAATCAAATGAAAAAACCATTTGACCTTGTTGACATGTCAATCTTTTGTTGATCACTTAAGACATAAACTTTTTAAAAGACAGAAACTCAAGCCAGAAATTTGCCTTTCTATCATTTTTAAGGGAAAATGTTCAAGCATTTGGTACAAATACCCTGGAAACGGTCTGATAAAAATTTAAATTATTTTCAATGGTTTTAGTCAAATAAAATAAATCTCACATAATTAGTATCATAACCTTTACATGTTTATGAGAAATATAATATATTTAATCAAAGTTTCATTAGACACATAAGTAAGAAATTGATTTAAAAAAATACAGGCCATTGCAAAATACAAATAAGCTCATCAGTAGCTTGGAGTTAATACGCTAAGCTGCTGCCTGTGTTGCATGATTTCAGAGCTTCTTCATCATTGATCACAATCTTCATAATTCTAGAAAATCTTTCTTTGGGATTTCGTTTATTTAAGTTGAAAGCTTGGGTATATTCAACATGTTTAAATACTATGCTGATAATTCTAAGAAGGGAAAAAGTGATAAGGTTTTTTCCAAGCATTACCTCATGAGGAATTATGTTATTAATGTTCATTAAACATATTTAGCTAGGATTAGGGTATTAGCACATTAATAGTGTTGAACATATACTTCACTTTGAGTAAGACTTTTGATTTCACAAATTGCTACTATGTATGTGACCTCATTTAGTATTCACAAGAACTATATATCTGAACAATGAAGGGTATTATACTTTGCAAATGTGAAAGGCAAACTTTTCAGAAAGGAAAGCAGAACAGAGAATGGATTTAGTAAATTTTTAAGATCATGAAAGTCCATTGGACAATGTTTTTCAAGTCTGGCACTGACATATTCTGTAACTCCTTGAATATGACATTCTATTGAATGGTATCATGATACATTACTTATGAAAAGTTGTGTCTCTGTCAGGTTAAAATCAACAAAAAGTTTTGCTTATCCTTCTAGCTAAAAGGAAATAAACTAATTATTCAACATCCCTCATCTGTGTTTTAAATGGTACTTCAAGTGATCTGATAGACATTATAAACTTTTACTGTGTTTTAACTTACTCCCAGAGAATACATAAGATGGTCAAGTACTAATCTAATTATGGCTAAAATGTAGTATCTTTAGTGCATGGTAATGAGTTTGAGTTCTTATATGAACCTTATATATAAAACAAAACACTTATGGTTAACCTCATTTACAGATCTTTAATAGAATGCCATCAAGTTAGCATATAATTAAGTTTTTCAAAAAGTAGATGAAAATATTTATCTATAGATTTTGATTTCAGTGAATTTCCAAGAATTCCAAGAATCAAGGAGCAGTATTATTTTCTGATTAAACTCAAAATCATTTTTTAAAACTATGTATTCTCACTAAGCTGCATGATTTCTAATTAAATTTATCACAGGTTTTGGTTAAAATAATAAATGCATTTATTTAGGAGAAAAACATTCAAATGCAGAACTATAGCGCATGAGGGGAAAAAAGCCACTATCTGGTTAATGAGCAATGACTTTATATTGCTTATAAATGTAATGAGAGCTCCATTAGAAGTATTTTTTTATTTTACTTGGTGATTAAAATAAACACCCCTTTGATAAAAAGCATTATTATCTCTCTTTAACTTGCATTAAGAACAACACAAAACTCATTCATTCAACAGGTGTGTATTAAATGAATAAAAACACCTTCTTATGTCACATAGATGCATATGAAATTGTGACCTGTGACTTAAAACAGATAGGACTTTTTTGATAAATGCAAAATAAATTGCATTTTCTTGTTTTATTCACTGAAAAAGCTGTGCCATGGAAGAGAAATATCTTAGAATCTTAAGGCACCTCAACCAAGACTATCATTTATATGGGTACTTATTTTAACACTATCTAGTTATATTAATTGAACATTTGACTTTAAATAACATAACAACATGGAGTTCTCTATAACATTTTTCTAACAACAAAGGCGACCCCATTGCTATGAAAAAAAATATACAGCCTACTCATTAAAAAAAATACCAATTATCCAAATGAGCCTTTCGTAACACTGGAGAAAATATCATTTTTTCCTGTGACAACTTTCATTTTGTGATCTCTTGTTGCAGAATTTGGAAGCTGGTCCTAGAACAGGGAAAAACACTGCTGTTGTGTCATGCTTTTTTTCCCTTAACCATTTAATTTATGTTACCTTCCAACTGCACACTAGAAAGTTTATACACGACACTGGGATTCCAAATTCCAATTTTCTATGTGAATTCTCAAAATGATTTTTCATTAAAAAGAAAGAAGAGACTACAAAGAGCTTTAAAATAACCACTCAGAATTTGAAAGAGTTGCTTTTCCACTATGATCATCAGGACTGACAGACTGAATTAACATCCCATTCATAGACATGCTTCTTTTAGAAAACAGTCCACATGTGTTCCGTGAGTTAATATAACAATAGTATTCTTTTAATTCTCCATTCAGAGAGTACCTATGCCTTGCTCTGGATCTCTCAGCAGGCAAAGTGAGAAACTTACTTGGCTTTGTATGTGCTCTTTTAGATGTGGGCCCCTCTGTGACAGAATCAGGAGGTCGGCTAGCTAACTGCAAAGCAGTTGAGTTGTTCCTGTTAGTGTTTTGGGACTCAATATTTGTGACAGCTTCATTCTGTGGTTCGGTACTTGGCTTTGTGCCCGTCTTTCTTTTCTGCTTTTGGGACACAGAAGCACTTGAAGTCCAGGAAGGCGGCAAAGCAGAGGTAGTGGTAGAGGAGTCCTGACTCGAACAAGTTTCTGAAGATTGAATCACGTTGTCATTGGCAGCTTTACAACACTGGGTGTTCTCTTCATGTCCCACAGCTTGTTTGGACACTGACTGGGGCAGCGTTACACTGCAGGCTTGTATTTGAGCCCCATTAGTTTGAGAATACACATTGCTAACCTTGGTGACCTTGTGTTGCCCATTATTGTTGCAAACCTTATACCGGATCATCAGAATGATGATGAATACCAACACAGACGCTACAATGATGCCACCAATAATAATAATCATAGTGCCTCCCAAAAACTGGGACTGCATGAAATGGCAACGCACATAATCCTGTTCCGTAGTAAACTGGATGCAACCCACAACTCTTGTGGCAGTGAGGGAAGTGATGCCATCGTCATATATGGCCAAGACACACAAGTCATACATAGTTCCAGCAGCCAGATTATTGACCAGAAAGGTTTTGCTCGTAGGAGGTATCATTCTGAGAGACAATGGAATTTGTATTAATATTCAAAACAAAATAAAACAGAAAATATACACACAAAATCATCATGGTTCTCTTTCATTTTTGTATTCATCAAGATAAGCACACTTATAACAGATATGAAATATGGGGAAATGATCTCATCTTATATTTACTCAGTTAAAATGGCTAAAAGTCATTGTTGGAGTCTGCATTATATTAATGGTGCCTGTACCAGGCCATGACAAGCTTACTAATTACATTGCTTGGCAAAGCAGAACTCCTAATAAAAGCTATTGCTAAAAAATCATTTGTGACAAATTGCTTTTGAAAGGTGTGACTGTGACATTATCTGAGTACTAAACAAATCCATTTAGCACTTACAACACCTCTCTGACTAAAAGCCAATTTGAAGGAAGGGAAAACACTGACAATCACATTAGAAATCAGAATATAAATGCATTTTGGAGCATTTATTTTTCAAATCAAAAATAAGCTGCCATGAAATGTTACCCACTAAGTCTATCTTTAGTAACTAAGAAAATTACTAAGATTAAGGTATTTTATTTACAAATCTCATCCCTTTTTAATGCCTTCAATACTTGGTTGCAGAATGTTTTTATCTATTTATTCTAAAAAGGATGATAAAAATATACTAGTAATACTATCCTAGAATCATGAACAAGGTAAGGCTGTTAACCAGAGCACAAATCCCTAGCCTATTATGCATTAATGTGAATTTGTATCAGGGAACATTTCCTAAAGTTTATTAAGAGTTTACAGATAGCTCTGAATTAATTACATCTTAAAACTTTTTTTATGGATGTCTATGTTCTACTAGATTATTTTTTCAGTTGCAAACAAATATGACCTAAATTAAAATTAATTAGAAAAAAAAGCTTGAAAGCATATTTTTTCTCTAAAAATGAAATATAGGCATTTCAATACTTGGCAATATTTATCTGTTGTATAACCCACATGAAGTATTTAAATCTACCAGGAAACTTTCAGGCCAGAGTATGTATTTGGGACTGAAACCACTACCATTTAGTGAGTAAATGACAAATGCCAGGCATCAAAAAGCACTTTGTATACATTAAAATTTAATCTTTATGATGGCCTATGAGACAAACATCATCACTATTCTACAGATGACCAAAAATTAGGGTCAGCAATTCAAGACATTTCCTCAAGGTCATACAAAATGAATTTGTTATAGCAGGATTAAAATCTTGAAAAATTGGAATATAAAGTCTGACTTATTTCACAGAGTCAATTCTTAAAATATACACAATGTCCAGTAGCTACAGATAGGTGAGGGGTGAAGGCAGGCCCTTGCCATTGACAACAGGTTCAGTAGGTCATAAGTTATGAGAAAAGCCTGGTAGGACAAGAGTAAACTATTTTAAGCTAATATACATGTATGATAGTCTATGTCCCCATATGTTTAGCGATGAGAGAAATATTAGAAACCATTTAGTCTAATCTCTTTTCTTGTAATGATGAGAAAATTAAAACTCAGTCAGGTAGAACCCTGCCCAGGATCAATCACATGGTCACATGATTAGCTAGGTTAGCTAAGATAGATTCTTTTTTTTTTCTTTTTAATACTAACCCATGCTTATTTTTTTTAAAGTTACTCTCAATTTCATGCATGACTGAAAATCAAATTATAGTCAATAACTCAATAATTCACCTGGGTATACTATAAGAACAGAATTGATCTGATTTTTGAAAAGCTTAAAGACAAAATATATACAGATATTTCAAAGCCATGATTTTGAATCATTGCCTAGGAGTAATAATAATCTAGCACAAGTGAAATCACATGAAGGGGTAAAAATGTGTATTACCAACTGAAAATTGGACAAGATGTGACTATAAATCAATGAGGCTGAATTTTAGAAAAACATACCAGAAATTATTTAGCAAATTCTCCATCATTGTCCTTACCTGGAGATTACATGACTTAACTCCAGTGATACTTTCACTGCTCAAAATATTTATAAACATTTTATTTGGAACTGTCTTAAGAACCAGTATACATGAGACAACATACATACAAAACTCAATCACTCAAAACATCAGTCTCATTATTTTATAGTTACATCCTATTTTTGACCAAATATGGCAATATCCATCTTGATCACCCACCTTATTCACAAGACTTGACTCCAAATGGCTTTTGCTTGTTTCCAAAATTCAAATTCACCCTCAAAAGACGAAGATTTGCCACCACTGAGGATATTCAAAATAGTATGACGAAGGTTCTAAAGATAATTCCAAAAGTGCTTTGAGCAATGGCAGCATCATTGGGATAATGGTATAGCCTCCCAACATGACTTCCTTGAAGGAAAGAACACTCATGTGGATGTGTAAATTCTGGTATGTTTTTGAATTTTTAAAATAAATCAAATCTTGTTCTCTGATAGTCACATCTTTTAGATGAGGGGGAAAAGTAAGCAAGCATAAAATTAAATATACATTAAATTATCTAAAAAGAACACCATTCAAAATATTTCCCCACATGTATTTACCATGTTGTATAATAAGCCTTCCATTATACACCTTAAAAAATAGACTACTGTAATTATGACACAGAGTAGCACTGTCATTTAAAAAAATGAGTAGTGCATTAACAAGCCCTACACTAAGCTACACGGTAAATATACAAATTTGCTTAATTTTTCTTACCTGTAAACAAGAGTGTCATCATAAGTACCATTGTACTGGATCTGAAACATACGTATTCCAGGGATGTTTCTTTGAAAATTAAATTTAAGTAGTGCTGTTGATGATGTTGCTTCTGCCACCACAATTTTATCTTGACTTATTTTAGTATCCCCATTACTACTACTTGCATTAGACCCTGACTTCGTAGAAGTTGAGATATCTGAAGAACCAGGATCAGGCTCATGGATGTGGTTTGTACTGTTTAGTAGATGAGGGAGCTTAATTATATGAAGATCCACTGTTTGTGTTGCTTCGCCAGCAGGATTGGAAGCAATGCAGGTAAAAGCACCTGTATCCTTTACAGTTGTTATAAGAATGTCAAGTGTTCCATTATCATACACAAGAGATCTCGTTGCATTTGAAATAAGCTTCCCTTCAGGAGAAATCCAGTGGATGGCAGGTTCAGGGTCTCCCCTGGCTTTGCACCTCAGTGTTGCCCTTTGACCCTCCAGGACTCTCATCTCATGTGTATGACGAGTAATGAGAGGAGGCTCACACAAAAATTCTTCTTCAGGAATTGACCAAAAATAGCGGCCAGTTAAAAGCGGAGGAGAAGCACAGGTCTCAAGGTCATCTTCTCTGGACAGACGCCTCAACCATAACAATTCGCAATTGCAATGCAAGGGGTTTCCACCAAAACTTAATGCAAAAGTAGATGGGCTTATGATTCCTGAGGTTGCTAATACCTGAGCTCGCTGAAAGAGAGGGTCAGGTGGTAGCTTCTGCAATTTATTTGATGTTACATCTAACCGAGTCATCTTGTGCAAGTGAGAGAAAGTTCCCTTAGGAATGTTATCAATCATGTTGTGATCCAAACTAAGGGTATGCAGGCTAACCATCTTCTCAACAGCATCCCAAGGAATGGTTTCTAGATTATTATAGGACAGATCCAGCTCCTCAAGGGCAAAGACATCATCAAATGCTGTCGAAGAAATTAAAGTCAGCTGATTGTTATTCAATATCAAATGATGAAGATTGGAAAGACCACTGAACATGTCATTTGTAATTTTAGTCAATCTGTTACTATTCAAATGCAAAGCCCTCAAATTTCGTAGGTCAGCAAAAGCATGAGGTGTAATAAAACTTATTGTATTCCTAGATAGAGTCAGGTCCACCAAGCTGGTCATATTGGCAAAATCTTTCCTTTTAATATTTGTTACAAAATTGTCTGCCAGCCGCAGTTCCACAGTTCTTCTGTCAATGTTTGGTGGAACAAATAAAAGCCCTTTCTTGGCACAAAGGGTTGCAAGATTAGGAGACAAAATCTGACAGACACAACGCTTTGGACAGATCTGAGCTTTCACTGCTATGCCAATGAAGAACAGATAAAAAAGAAATTTTTCCATTGTAGATCAGATTTAAGAACCTGTAAGAGAAAACACAAAATATAGTGTTAACATTTCATTCATTTAATGAATATTTATATTGCTACCAGAAAATTATTTTAATGCAATCTTGGGTAGAGAAATAATTTTATTTGTTACCTTAAAAAGTATTAATATTAATTCTGTACTAGAGGCTACGATGAGCACTAGGGATAATTAATAAACTATTCATGGTTTCATGTGATTTAAAATCAAATAAAAAAAAACAAAGAAGTCAAAAAATTAATATAATTCTGTAAATTCAGTGCCCTTAAAAAAATGTCCAGAGTACTCAATGGGTGCCCAAGAAACAGATAATCAGCCCAGATTGGAGGGCTAAGATTTCAGGAAGATGCCCCCCAAACCTTTATATAAAGAAGTTAAAAAAAACTAGATCCATATAAGGATTTGCAAGTACTTCAATTCATTAGCCATAAGAGAAAAAAAAGACAATATTTGTCATTGAATTAACCTTGTAGTATGATCTTTGAAAGTAATTTATTTTTGATTTTGGTTTTTCATCTTAACAGATTCTCCTGTTATAGTTCATCCTTCACATCTTAACTGCAAATATAGGATCTTATTCACAAAAAATGATAAGGCTAGAAATTTACTGCAATAGCTCCAAATTCCCTAAATATTAAATATTAAAATATTTCACGAGTTATAAAGATGGATTTTGGAGATAATTTATGGAAAACAGTCATCAAAACACTCAACAGTGAGTCCAACAAATTATCACATTTTGTTTTACTTCTCTTAATATATTAACTCGTTTATATTCATTTAAATGTATTCTTAAAAAATAATAAACACTTTGACTATTTTGCTCTCCAGGATGCTTTTGAATATATGACATTAATCTTTAAAATTAAAATAATAACTTATATGTGATTAAGTGTTCTTATACATTGCATAGAGTTTAAACACCATGTAAGAAAAAGATCTGTAGAAAATCACCCAACTTTTTAATTAAATATAAATATAAAGTATAAAATTATTTGAGAAATACTGTGTCTATTTTTCTAAATAAAACATTTTCTAACTCTAATTATTTTATGCCTATATTATATAGTTGTAGTTAATACAAATAGTCATTCTCCACAAAAACAAATTTTCTGTTCATGATAGAAAAACGAGTATTGAACTAGGTTTTCCACAATAAGCAACAACAAATAAAACTACAAAAATATATAAAACAACAGTTTTTAGACATTGGAAATGATTAAGTACAGAACTGTAATCTTTGAGATACTGAATTTAAAAAAAAAATTGAACCTTATAATTATTCCTAGAGATACTTTAAAACCACAGTACCAGAAGATAAAGCAAAACGTTAACATTCTTGTTAAATTGAGTAGACAGAGACCAGAGAGTAGAGAGATTCAGACGTCCTGAATTTGTGGGACAGAGTACCAGAGAGGAGAATGTTATTTAAAAAAAGTGCTCCAGTAATTTATATAGGTGAAGACAGGGTAAGAGAAACTAACCATCCTGAAACACTGATTTAAAAAAAGGATGTAAGTGAACAAAAATCCAGTGAGCTATGGACAGTATTATGAAGTCAAACATATAAAAAATTGTAGTTTTCAAAGAATGCAGTTAGGCAGAAATATATTTGAAAAAATAAACAATTTTCCAAATATGATAAAAATGCCAATTTATAAATCCAAGTTCAACACAAAGGAAACATATCAAGGCACATCACAATCAAAATGCAGATAACCAGAGGGAAGAAAAAAATCTTAAGAGCAGTCACAGAAATAAGATTACAATAAGGTAAGGTGAACAAAATAAAAGTAATTATTGACTCCTCACTGACTTCTTTTTGTAAATAAAGTGACATGGAGGATAAAGAAAACACCTCCAAAATGCTGCAAGAAGAAAGGAAAACCTGCCAACCTAGGTTGGATTATGCATCTATAAAAGATCAAAACAAATGAAGACTTAAAAAGAAAAAAAAAAAAACAGTTTTATCACCAGCAAACTTGCAGTATAAGAATATGTAAAGAATATTTTATTTAAACTGGAGGGAAATTATATCAGATGGAAGAAACTTGAATCTTCATAAATGGATGAAGAGCAACAGAAATGATGTATCTGTAGATAAGTATAAAATATTTTGTTGTGTTTTAATATGTTTACAAATAGTACTTTTGGAATGGATATAGAAAGTCCCAAGAGGTTGGGCGCGGTGACTCATCCTATAATCCCAGCACTTTGGGAAGCCAAGGCAAGAGGACTGCCAAAGCCCAGGGGTTCAAGACCAGCCTGGGCAACTTGATGAGATCTCTTCTCTACAATAAATCACAAAAACTAGCCGGGCATGGTGGTGTGCATCTGTAGTTCCAGCTACTTGGAAGACTGAGGATGAAGGATTGCCTAAGCCTAGCAGGTAGAGGCCACTGCACTCCAGCCTGGGTGACAAGAGACTCTAATTCAAAAAAAAAAAAAAAAAGTCATGAGAAACCATCACTGTCATCCTAACTATCAAAACAAGCTGGATAAAATACAGATTGTATTTTTTAAAAATTATAACATTGTAATGCTGTTAATACAAAGAAACTTAAAGAAACTAAATTCTAGAAGTGACAGAAAAGGAAATAGGATGGCCTGTTCTGACATAAATTGGAATAAGGAGAAATCTGCTTACATTTTAACCAAATTTCAAGAATATATGTATAGGCAGTTATAACAAAATAAAATCCAAAAGAGCACTAGAAGTAGGGGAAGAAAGTATTAACACCCATCTCATTTTTAATGGTCTTCACTGAGTCATGAGGATATTACCTTGAAAATGTGGAATGAAAAGAGAGTAGAGATAAATTCTATCAGATACTCCATATTTCAGAAAAGAAAAAAATTGGAGAAGAAAAGGAAAACGGAATAATCATAATACTATAAGAAAGGGATTGGCAGTACTGGGAAACTGCCAGAGGAGGAATAGCAGGGGGCACACTTCATCAATATGGGTACCTTATTACAAACCAGGTGAGGTGGGAACCAAAGTGAGGCCCAAACTTTACCTGGGCAATGACCATTTGTATACCTAATCCTGAATTGTACCCCACATCTTTAAAATAAAAATTAAAAAAAGAAATAACTACTTAAGGCAACCCCACCTTTCAGCTTGAAAAGAATGAGAAAGAAGCAGATGAGATGAAAAAAGAAAATGCAATCACTCAGGGATTTCAGTTGTCATCAACTGAGGAAGGGTAGAAGAGTTCAGTTCCTCTCCTCCTATAGAGAAATTTCTGACTTTCAATCACAGAATGCTTTGGCGTGCTTTGCAAGGCTGAGACAAACTTCCCGAAAAAGATATTTCCACCTTTGTGGATTAGCTGCAGCCAAAACAAACAAACAAAAAAAACCAGAGGTTAAATTCAAGATCAAAGAGGTCTTCTAGGTCACCAAAAAAGCTGCCAGCAAAGCTCCAAAGCAGGGAGACATTTGCAGAAATCTGGAAATCAAGTGATTAATCTATAAAATAGATTTCCAAAACCATAATGGGGTCACAGATCTCAGGTCTTACTAAATAGAAAATTCCCAACCTTGTTCTCAAAAAATGTAAGATGAACTGAATGAACTGTGATGAACTGAAACACAATAACTGTCATAAATTACACCATTTAACAGCAGAGCTATTAAACTATCAGTTTCTAGTAGAACAAAGGAGACTATTCTTTTAAAATATATGTATATGTATCACTTGATTCTTCATTGTATTTCTATTATAAAACATGATCAATAGAAGCAGACCCAGAGACATCCCAGAGATAACAATTATCACAGGAGCATAACACTACCATGACAAAAATGTTAAAATTTCTAGAAGAAAAACTATACAGCATGCATGACTTGATGGAAGCTTTTAACAAAGATGTGAACAACAACAACAACAAAAATACATGGAAATGCTCTAAAATATGAAGAAATCATTAAATATATTTAACAGAAGATTGGACATGAGAAGTAAGTATACCAAATAATAGAAAAAAGTCTAAACTCAGACAAATAAAAATACTTCAAAAAACAGAAAGTCTGAGATCTGAGGAAAATTATTAAAATGACCAACATAAGCATAATCTGAGTCCCAGAAAAAGGGAGAATGGGGTAGAACAAATGTTATAAACAATAATATCTGGAAAGATGGCAGAGTTGGTGACATTCATGATCTCCAAAGACCAATGCAGAAGATAATAAACAAAAAGATAATTACACCTAGACACAAAAGAGTAAACTGCTGAAAATCAAATATAAAGAGAAAAATCATAAAAGAGGCATAAAAAAGACATTAGATATGTAGAGAATAACTGCAACAAATTGCAGCTGAGTTCTCATCATAAATAATGAAGGCCAAAAAAATGCAATAATAAATTTAAAATTTATAAAGAGAAAAAGCAAGTTAGAATTTTATATTAAATAAAAGTATCATTCAAGATAAGCATAAATATATTCACAAGAAGGCAAAGTCTAAGAAAAATTTATGTCAGATATTCTCCAAAAACATAATGAAATACATTCTCTAGTATAAAAGGAATAGAGAAATAATGAACCCACTGGGAAAATATAAAATTGATGCCAAGGTGGTAGGCTTAATCCTAAAATATATTTAAAACTCCACACACAATTGGAATGTAAATTTGAAAAGCAAAGATTATTAGTCTTCCTAAAATAGCCAAGTCATCCATAAAGTATTTAGAGAATACGAAAATAAAAATATGGACAGTTGAAAGTCAAAGACCAAAAAAGACGTCATGAAAACACTGAGCATGAAAAAGGGGGTATGGCTATAAATTAGAAAAAGGCAGAGTATACCAGAGGTCAACAGGCATTTTACAGAGATAAATAATCCATTCATCAAGAAGCCATGAAAACACTGAATGTACATGCACTTGGCAAAAGAGCTTTCAAAATACATGAAACAACACATGTCAGAATAAAAGGGAGACATTTTTAAAAGTACACAGTTACAGTTTGAAATACAAACTCCTCTTTCTCA